TGAGTTTCTTTGTCAAGTTTATCAAAAGTAGACACAAAAGGGTAAATCAAAATGATCAATAACCTTTTTTAGAAAAGTGAGCAGCTACATTATCATATTGAATAGGGTAGAATGAAGAATTAGATAAGCCATGAGAGATAGGCTTGTGAATGTCACTTATAGGCTTGTCAATGACCGAAATAGTTTGATGAAAAGGGCATTTATAACTTGAAATGTGAATGAAGCAACATGCAATCTATTTGTCCCCCTTGTAGAGATGAATCTGTCAGCTCAAATTTTCCTCTCCTGCACTAATGAGGAAACTATCAACAAAACCACAAGCATTTCAGAGCAAGTTAACAAGGTAAGAAGCAGACAGGGCAAGTGAGGTAAAGGTTTTCAGTCAATTCCGATGGAGATGTTATTTCAAATATTCTTTATACCTGTGTAGGTTTGACATTTTAACTGAGCAGAAACACTGTCAATGAAAATGCTAGGGTATATAGAATAAAAGATGTGAATATTTTTAAAAATAAGGTCTTCTTTTAAAGAAAATGAATTGTTACATTTTATGCAATTGTTATTACAATATTTTTGTTCATATGAATAAAAACAGCCCCATCCTCCCATAAACTAAAACTCATACAATTCGTATGTAAAATATATAGGTTAATGCAATACATATTAACAATTCCCCTTTTCTGGGCACACTCTTGGAAGATGTACAGATTAAATATAGAAACATATCAAGATTTACACCACAAAAGGAGCAGATTTGGTCCATTGTGTTCCATTCCAGCTGATGAAAAGTTCTTCAATTTAATTCCATCTTCCAGTTCTATATCCGCAGCCTTGTAGTAGCTCAAGTTGCTGTAATTTTTTGATAGGTGAGAAAAATCATCAAAGAGACAAAACTGCACTGTATCCTGATTGGAAGGTTAGCAGTCTAATGGAATATCCACTTGCCTATGTGGCACTATCGTTGAGCATCTAAAATTTATCAAGAGAAAGCTCATTAGATATTTGGGGTGTGTTATCAAAAATATTGCTGTTATTTCGGTTTATGCTGATAAAAGGGAGAAAAAGTCAGCTCTACTGCATTTGATATGACACATCTAAGGTCATTTTGTTTTGGCACGATACAATTAGTTAGAGTAGAAACAAGTCAGGAAGGATTGTGTGTAGGGGCACTGAAGAGACCACATCAGCAGGCAGTGATGTCAAATTCATAGAAGCTTCTGTGTGTGTTTGAAGTAGAAATGAGATCCAGTAGGGGATAGCTTCTGAGAATTGGTGATCAGAATCCACATGAGGGTCTGAACCTTAGACAGAAGATGGAGTGAAATATAATGTTCATCAGCTCACAAATTGGCACACAGTTGAAGGAGATGTCTAATGGCCTCAGAAATATGATCAAAAGAACTGAAGGCTCTGTTCTTCAAGTTCATCCGATAGAAATGACAGAAGAATGATTTATTTCCTTACTCTTCATCTCTCATAAGTTATCACAAAAAGCTTTCCTATTTATAAAGAACCTTAGGAACAAAGAATTCACAATGGTTAGCAGCGGGACCTTTGGCAGCCTTGAGAGTGATCAAGAAGGTGGGTGAGGAATAAAATCAGGCTCGAAGATATCGGACCAGAAGTCCAATGTTTTCATGTTGTTTCCACATTTTCCTGGTGGCAGTTTTTGCATGAAAAGTCATAGAATCCCTACAGTATGGAAGCAGGCCATTCAACCCATCAGCTCAAAACTGACCCTCCAAAGAGCATCTCACACCATACCCATCTTGCCTACCCTATCCCTGAAACCCTGCATTTACCATGCCTCATCCATCTAGCCATCACACCTTTGGACTGTGGGAGGAAACTGAAGTACCTGAAGAAAACCCACACAGACACAGGGAGAATGAGCAAACTCCACACAGACAGTCAGTGGAGGATGGAATCAAACCCAGGTCCCTGGCATTGTGAGGCAGCAGTGTTAACCACTGAGCCACCGTGCCACCCAAGCTGGACTATGCACATCAATTTCGGAGGTTATTTCTAAATTTACTGTGGCACATGGGAACTACAGAGCCAGTAAAAGGGAAGCAGCAAGTGAGTGTAAACTGAGTGTTAGCTCCCTTTGGTAGCTATGTAGCGAGCTAGTATGGCGTGTCAGGGAGGCTGAAGCAACACATGCATTGACAAACAAAGACAGAAGGGCAGGAAATAGTGCCAGTACTGCAGAGAGGTGCAGGGGAGGGGACGGTCAATGTACCATCTCAGGAGTGGCAGTTGAGACTAAGAAACGGATGGGGGAAGGCTGGCTGTTTGCATAGAGGTCTTGCACACAGAGACCACCTGCCATGAACATCACAGGATTTAGGAGTTTTGTTGAGGAGGATGATGGCAAGTGTAAACTAACTGATTAAAAAAGGAGGGCTGGAGAAAAGAAGGATTTACAGACTAGTTAGCCTTTCCTTAGTAGTAGGAAATTTATTGCAGATTATTAAAGAATATATGATACCAGGTCACTTAGAAAATATCAAGAGGATTAGACAAAGTCAACATGGATTTATTGAAGAGGAATTATGTTTGACAAACCTGTGGGAGTTTTTTTAAGTATACAGATGGGAGGAGGTGATGTCCATTGTAATGCGAATGATCTACTGATCCAAATGCTCAGGTTAATGCTCTTGGGGCATGTGTTCAAATCTGACCATGGCAGATAGTGGAATTAAGATGTGGAAGTAAAGGCTAGTCTGATGATAGAGTCATTGAGTTGTACAGTTATAAAGCTTGGAAACAGACCCTTTGGTCCAACTTGTCAGTGCCGGCCAGATATCCTAAACTGATCTAGTCACATTTTCCAGCATTTGGCCTATATCCTTTAAAAACTTCCTATTCATATACCTATCGAGGTGCCTTTTAAATGTTCCCCTCTCCACCACCTACTCTGGCTGCTCTTTCCATATATGCATGACACCCTGCATGAAAAAACCCTCAGCTTCTGATGCTCCAGCGATAAAAGCCCCAGCCCATTCTGCCTCTCCCGCCTCTCCCTATAACTCAAACGCTCTAGTGCTGGCAACATCCTTGTAAATCTTTTCTGCACCCTCTCAAGTTTAACACCATCCAACCATTGTCAATTGTCATAAAACCCCACCTGGCTTATTAATGTCCTTTAGAGAAAGAAATTTGCTGTTCTTGTCTACATGTGCTTCCAGACACACAATGTCTTACCTGTCCTGTGAAATGGCCAAGTAATTTATGTAGTTGGGCAATTAAAGATGTGCAACAAATACTGGCCTTGTCAGTGAGACCACATCATAAGCAAATATGAAAAGCAACAGATTTGGAGAATTTTCATTTCCTAAAAGCTTTTAGGAACTAAAGATGTCAAGAGGTCTGAGGAGACAGCAGGAGTGTAATGTTGAGATTGAAGTAGAACCATGGTTATGTTGAATGGTGAAGGAGGTATGAAGGGCTGAATGGCCTACTTCTATTCCTATATTCTATGTTTCTATGTTTCTCCCTGTTCTTTGGCTTTCATAACATAATGCCTAAGCTGTTGACTACTGATTCTTCAGAGTGGTATACACAAGATTTAGTGTTTGTCAAAAGCAATATCTATTGAAGAAGGTACTTATCTGTTTAAATTTCAACAAGCTCAGTCATCCTTAATGTTAAATCAATGGGATAGATCATAAACGTTCACAGTTGTGATCTTACCATATACCAGGGTAATATCCAACGCTACTGAGCCATGATATTCATCACCAGAATGCCCAGCAGATTTGGCTGGAAGGTGACCCTGTGCACAGTCAAGAATAAGTAGTTATGAGGTGCGCAGTTAGCTGCTGTAACAGTGATAAAGTTAATACATTTCCTTCTGCAACTTTTATCAGTGAACACAATTTACTTTCTACAGCTGGATAGATATTTGAAATAAATGCATGCAAAAAGTAATAAATTTAATTCGTATCTCAAAATTGCCATCCATTTATTTTGTACTCAAGTGTCAAACTATTGTACTTTCCATTACAGCTTGTTAGGGTATTCGAGTTTTCGAATTCTTTTACTCCTACAATGTGCACTTAGTGTGAAGAGTTCAAAACATATGAAAGCTGCTGTTGCTCACAACAGAACCTTTAACTTGCTCATGGCTTGCAATGCCAGGGCCTGGAGCTTGTTTGGGTTAAAGTGCTTCTTGCCTGCAGTAGCTGAGATGACCTGTTGATGCCTAATGAGCATTATTTGGAAGACAGTGAAGAATCAGATGTGCTGACGTTGGGAGGGAAGTCTTTTTTTAAATTAATTCATGGGATGACATCACTTGCTCAGTCAACAGTTATTGTCCAGAGAACAGTTAAGAGTCAATAACATTGCTGTGGGTCTGGAGTCATATGTAGGCCAGACCAGGTAAGGATGGCAGTTTCCTTCCCTAAAGGGCAATAATGAGCCAGATGGGTTTTTCCAACAATCGACAATGGATTCATTTGGAGTCTTAATTCAAATTCTTTTTTATTCAATTCAAATTCCACCACAGATGCAGAATTCGAACCTGGGTCATTAGAACATTACCTGGGTGTCTGGATTAACAGTCCGCCGATAACACCTCTATCTCCTCCCCTATTGTTATGGGAATGGCATTTAACTCTACCACTGACTTGTGGAGGAATAGACTACAGATGACAACTGACCCCTTTAGAGCCCTTCTTTGCTTGGTTCACCAATCCCTTCAGTCTTTTCCAAGGGACAGCTTGTATGGCAGCTCTTTGAATGTCCATCAAAGAAGAGCACTGCGTAGACATAGAGTCTTGGCACAAGGACCAAGATGCATTTTGTTGCTAGAGGTCACCACGTTTACCAAGTTGTCTGCATCTTGACAATAACACCACAAAGGCTTAAAACAGATTCATTTTAATCATGGAAGTATTAGCAGCTTAGCTCTTACTCAGTGCAACTTCTAGTGCAATTATCAGCAGATTTCTGTGAAAGAACTCGATAACTCTGTTCTTCTAAGCAATGCTGGGAAGCAGGCTATGTCTTTTGACCAGTTTCCTCTTGGGTTTCCCCTTCCTACGTTGTGCCTGCTTGGTGTTTCATTAGCTAGAAACATCTTGGTCTGACTAACTAAACCATGCACAAATGGATGAATTAATCCTTGTCAGCAGCAATTTCCTGTTCTGAGATTGTTAAAGGAAGAATTGATGCTGTGGTGAAGGACCTAAAGAAAGAGAAAGAAACAAGGTTTAGAATTGCATACTGAAGATAGATATTACAGTGACAGCCTTGAGAATGAAGCTCAAATTAATGTCTCTTGCTGCATATTTGCTGAAGTAAATGAAAAGTTAAGAATAACATGCAGGCAACATGTTCCAGAATGCCATCAGGTTCTCCCCCATTGATGCTCACTGATCCATTTGAACCACAGATGTCCAAGTCCTCCTGTTATACCTGGGTCAGGGTTATTATGTTTGGATCCCTTCCCTTGACTTGTACCTCCTCCTTGTATCTTGGGCATTTGTTGTATAAGAGAGTATCAGGTTTAGTGAAATGTTGTTGGTAATGCCAATCAGGTGGGCTGCTTTGTCCTGAATGGTGTCAAGCTTCTTGAATGTTGTTGTAGCTGGACCCATCCAGGCAAGTGGGGAGTATTCCATCACACTCCTGACTTGTGCCTTGTAGATGGTGGACAGGCTTTGAGGAGACAGGAGGTAAGTTACCTGTTGCAATATTCCTAGCATCTGACCTGCTCTTGTAGCCACTGATGAGACCAGTCGAATTTCTGGTCAATGGTAACTGTAAGGATGTTGATAGGGGTGAATTCAGTGATGGTAACACCATTGAATTTCAAGGGGTAGTAGTTAAATTGTTTCTTATTGGGGATGACATTTTTGTGGCGCAAATGTTACTTGCCAATTGTCAGTCCAAGCCTGGATACTGTCCAGATCTTGTTGCATTAATGCTGGGGACAACTGGAGGAGGCCAAGATGGGTCATTCACTTGGCACTTCTGACTGAAGATTGGTACAAATGCTTCAGCCTTTTCTTTTTCACCGATGTGCTGGGATCTGCATTATTGAGAATGGGGATTTTTGTGGAACCTCCTTCTTCAGTGAGATGTTTAATTGCCCACCATCATTCACAACTGGATGTGATAGGACTTCTGATCTGAGATCTGATCTGTTGGTTGCAGGATTGCTTAGCTCTGTCTATCACTTGCTGTTTAAGCTGTTTGGCATGGGAGTAGTCCTGTTTGGTCGCTTCAGTTTGCCTGATGCTGCTTCTGGCATGACTCTTACACTCTCCATTGTGTTCATCTCCCAGACTTGATGGTAATGCTTAAGTGGGGGATAGGTCATAAGGTTGCAAATTGTGTTGGAGTACAATTGCTGTTGATGGCCCACAGTCCCTCATGGATGCCCAGTCTTGAGTTGCAAGCTTTGATCAAAGTTTATCCCATTTAATACGGTAATAGTGCTACATAACACGTTAGAGGGTTTTCTTGATGTGTGGGCAGGACTTTGTTTCCACAAGGTCTGTGCGATGGTTAGTTTTACCGATACTGCATGGAGAGATGCATCTACAGCTGGCAGATTGATAAGGATGAGGTCAAGTATGTTTTTCCTTCCTGATTTCTTGGGTTTAACCAGTTGGCTCTTGTAGGAATCCGCCACTTATCTCCACAGCTATGGACCAGTGCAGGGCTGGAAGTTGTTTCCTTTCCCATATATATTTCTCCCCATTCTGCCCAATCAAACTCAGTGCCCCCAGTCCCTTAGTCACAAACTATCTGAGGTCTGATTCCACAACCAACATGAATAGTTTCAGAGAATATCAATGAGGTAACTCAAGATGTTGAATGAATTCCTGAAATACTCCAGGATTATTCAGATGGGATCCATTGTTGGATGAGCCTTGAGTCTCTCGGTTCTGGAATACATTGCACGCACAGTAACCAGTTTAGGTGTGAAGATAGGGCATTAGATAATGTGACATACAGCATGGATTGGGTGGGTACACAATGCAGCCCGTTATGGACTCTTCATGTTTGTTTTCACCCAAGTAGCGGCTGCAATGCAATGAAATTTCTGGACTAATAAACTTTGTAATATAGATGAGATCATGCTTCCAATTGAATAATGAGAATGAAATTTCATCTGAACTTCCTTAGCATTTGCTTATCAATATTTACACAGTGTAATGTCTAGCGTTACCTTTAATCCTGAATGTTGCCTTATTTACAATGAAGTCAAAAAATAGATGTACATTACGAAAACAATTTTAGTAATTCTTAAAATTCTACAGGTATTTTTGTTTTGATCTGTTCATGGGATGGGCTTTAATGGATAAGTCAGCATTTACTGTCTAACACTAACTGCCCTGCAGAAGTCATACTTTGTGGAAATAAAACAACTAAATGAACTTAAAACTTCAAAGTATTTATAGTTCCTTAACATTGTTGGGAAGTTTGCAGTTCTAACTGAATCCATCAGGATTTCATTCATTGTAACAACTGAAATTTTGCTATTTTTTTCTCTGACATATATTGTTCACATGTATTTTATTGTGACTGTTTCTCTCTGTTTTCAACACCAGTCCCTTGGGGAGGATAATGTTAATCACCTAAACAGAGCATATATTCAACGGGACACATTAATTATATTAAATATTACATCCATTATCGATTCTAAAATATTAACTGTGCAGTTGTCACTGCAGTTTCTTACTATAAACTGTTATGGCATCTGATATGATATGGGCCACTTTTAATAATGCTTGCTTACGCAGAATTTATCATATTCCATGAATCTAGAATATAAATGAGCACTTTATTGATAATAACAACTGGATAAAATCAATTGTCCTAATATGTTGGTTGTAGAAACAGATTGATCTTTTGATTGCTTACATGAGCAGAAATTCCACACTTGAGGAAAACAAAACAATCAGCTATTTATTAACACATCACAGACTTATTAAAATTCCTCTGTAGTTTTATTAAAATTCTCAAAACAAGTGTTCTAAAATGGAGGACTCCATTGTTAATCATGAAAAGCTTATCATCACTATAAATTTGTTGCATTAAAGAATTGCAGTTTAATTATACAGGAATGATGTGTTTCAGTGCAAAGGTTTCAATAATTCTATCATCAATGACCTAAGCTCATCAAACTCAAAGAGTTTGTCTCTATTGACAAAACAAAACAAAAAAATTATCTAACAATTATTACACATGCAAATTTTAACTCACTTATGCAATAAATAAGTAAATGAGCTACAACACTGTGCTTGTACTTACTTATCATGCCAGACCATCATTGTTTCACTTGGGCATATATTTTGTACTTCTGTTATGAATTTTAAGATTACTGATAACAGATTCTCTGATTGTTGATATTGAAGCCTTTATTATTTCATCAAATCTCGACACAGGTTTATTCTGATTGTGGATTTCAATATTAAATTAAATGTTTTAGAAGGATATACTTCTTCAATAAATGCTGGCCTGGCCAGTGAAATCACATGTTAGGAATGAATTTAAAAGAATATTAAATGCAAATGGGGATTGAACGAGAATATATGAGAAGAGAAAGGTAGCTAAGAAAGAAGGAAATCCAGAAATCTTCCATAGGCATCTAGAGAGTAAAAAGGTGGGGAGGCAATGGCCTAGTGGTATTATTGCTAGACTGTGAATCCAGAAACTCAGCTAATGTTCTGGGGACCTGGGTTCAAATTTCATTGGCAAATGGTAGAAATTGAATTCAATAAAGAATTTGGAATTATTGGTCTAAAGATGACTATAAAACCATTGTTAATTGTCAGGAAAAAAACCTATCTGGTTCACTAATGTCCTTTAGGGAAGGAAATCTGCCATCCTTACCAGGTCTGGCTGACATGTAACTCCAGACCCACAGCAATGTGGTTGCTGCTTAACTGGCTTCTGAGAAATTAGGGATGGGCAATAAATGCTGGCCCAGCCAGAGAAACCCAGATTCTGTGAGTGATTTTAAAAAAAGAGTATAGTTGATGAGAAATCAGAAGTGGATTTATGCACGGAAGCAACTGGCAGTGCTGAGGCACTAAGTGAATCATTTGCATCTCTCTTTACCAAGGAGCAAGATACATGCTGGATTATGGTAATAGAGGAGATAATTTTCCTCACAATTGCAGGTAGAAATATGAAAGTTTTTAAACCAGTGGAAAGGGACAGGGGACAGTGGAGCAAGAGAGAAGATCTGTGATGGGGTGTGGGCTGAGAGAGATTAAATGATAAAATATTTCATAATGCAACAATCAATGTAATGGATATAGTAAATAAAACAGAGCTTTGTCTAAGTGAGGTGTGAATCTATATGTAAACCATTTAAATGTAACATGAAGGGATACAGAGAAAAAAAATGACCAGACCAACCTAGCAAAACAAGAAATAAACCCTAGAAAGTGGAGGTGGATGCTCTGATCCAATATTGTTGACTTCAGTATTGAGTCCAGAGTACCAAACCGAAAGCTAAGTGGCTGAATTTTCCCACATTGAACAATGTAGGTATTGGCAATGAAGTTGTAAAGATTTAGTGAGATCAGCAGTCTAAAAATTTGTGATGTTCTGAACAAAATGTCACATTCTACAAGTAAGTGTTGAACTATGAGACAAGAGACTTGCTGGTGCATGGGCAAGAGGCCTTTTTGCCTGCATTGACATATATTAACATCTCAATAGTCGTTAATCTTAATTCATTTATGTGGTTTCTTATTTCCCCACCCACTGGATAGAAACAAGTCACAGAGAACTCCCGACATAAAGGTCAGAGTTGTAATCTGGTGATTTGATCTTGTGCTTGATCCATTTGGAGACCACCATCTTGGACAGCAGTTACCAACATGGTGAGGTCCATGGACTGTGAACACATGCAGAACCTAACTGTGGGCGTTGGCATTGGTCACATGCCAATCTCACTGTACCCTCATGGCACATTTCTGATTCATATATAATGTGGTTCAATGCTGCAGTTTGGAACACGCAAGCACCTTTCATTCTAATGCTGCTGACATAAAAATTTGTCAGTGGATTGGACCAGGTTACACCTTGGGGATCCTTGCTTGCTTTCTTAGTACTCACTAGCTTTGCATCTACTTGTCCTGCCATTTTGCAATTTTTCCGCTTAGGTGGGGCTCAAAGGCTCACAGTATTACTGTCTTACCTTACTTTAGCACGGAAATTACTAGGCAGTTCGACATGGATGTCAGCAGTGATCAGTAAAGGGGATGGATATGTTGCTGTTTGACATTGTGTTATGCCAGTCTTCCACTTGCATCATGTGCCAGCTCTGTGCAGTCTTTGGGATACCTGCTTGGGTTAATATAAATAAAGGCCCATGGCATTATTTTGAAGAAGTGTCAGACAGTTATCCCCAGTAATCATATGGACTGAACAGATAGCTTCAACCAACTGGTTACATAGTCTGCATGGAAATGTCTACATCAAACAAATAAAATATCCGGTCATTATCGCATTGATGTTTGTGAGAGTTGAAGTGCACAAATTAGCAAATTACCTTACAATGGTAACTGCATTTCAAAAAGTATTTATTAGTCTTTAAAGTGCTTTGTAACATCCAGTGGTCATGAAAAATGTAGGAAAAAGGCAGAGGTAAGAAAGCATGGACTGGAGGAACACAGCAGGCCAGGCAGCATCAGAGCAACAGGAAAGCTGACATTTCGGGTCATCTTTTTTTCTATTCTCATTGGTCAGGCATCAGTTGTGAGTGGTTCTAACAGTTTCTATTTTATTTTAACTTTCCAGCGTTTTATTTTTTTGCAATAGTATAATCATTTGAAATAAATTGAGATATAATGAAATTAAGTTTAATTAAAATGCTAATGTAAATAATTTCACTCTGAGTTTGTTGTTCAGAGGTGAAATTCAAATCCACCAGAAAGCATAAAATGCTGAAAATGTACAGTAGATTAATAGAAGTAAAGACAGGTTCTAATAATTCATACGCTTGTCCCATAACAGAACTGAATCCAGTTGACATTAACAATTACATTTTTATAGTGAAAAAGGAGGAGTGATCATTTGGAATGTGATTAAGATTGTTCATTCAGGCAAGATGATGTAAGGGAAGTAATTTCTTGTTAACTTACTTATGGATAATGAGGCAGAGTGACCAAGTGGTCTAATATAGGGACATAATTTGGAAACCATATAATTGGGCTCAGAGGACCCTTGTGATGCAGTGGTAATGTCCCTACTTATAAATAGGGGGGTGCAAGTTCAGATCCCAAATGCTCCCAATGTGTGTCAACATTTCTGTTCAGGGGTTAGTTAGGAAAATATCTGCAATTAGGCTCAATGCAAGGCTAGCAAAGGCAAGCATGTTAAAAATGGTTTAATTCATCAGAAAAGTTTAATGATGTTTTCAGAAATATGTCAAAGCCTGAAGATCAACAGATAATAAAGAGATTAAATCTATTTTGCAATGCCAAAAGGAAGGATTTAACACACAGTGTAGATAACAAAAATAAGGGAGTATGAGACAAATCAAATAAAACAACACTGAAAATTCAATTTTATAAACAAAATTAAGGTAAGGCAGGGATACTACAAGAGCCAGAAGAATTAGAATGAAGAATTGAAAATCATAGAAATCAATATGTTCTCTGTTCTTGTGGTCTCTAAGCAGTGGCCTAAGTGGAGGTTGGAGATAGTGGCTGAAGTTATGCTACAGCCCCACCTTACCCCACGCCAAAAAAGACACCACAAAGCAGCGACAATGATTCACCCATTATCAGCGTGTGTCCCACAAACTGATAAGGAAAGGCCTGTGACATAGACCTCAATCAGCAGCGTTCCAGCTCCACTGTCATAGGGCCCAGTATAGGAGACACTATAAATAAAATGTAGTACAGCTGTTCTGAAATTTATTTTCATTTAACTATTATTTAATTTACCAATCTCTTAAAGCACTGCATTTCAGTGAATAGGATGCAGGTAAAATGTTTTTTATTTTTGCTAAGGAAGGTCCTTTGGTAGTTAACTCCAGTTTTAACATCGATTCCCAGAAGAATCAATGCATCAGTTAAAGTCATGATTTTCAGCAGCATGGCTCTTACTTTAAGGGCACCCTGGCATAGATTTCAGTCAAATGATTGTGAAGAGAATTGGCAAAAGTAAAGGGGAAGCTCTATCATCGGGTGTGAAGCAGGAGATTGAAGAGCCAAAGGTGTGAATGTTAGAAAGACAAACAGGAACTGTCTGAAAGCAAATACAAGAGAGAAAGAAAAAGAAAACCAAAACCTGCAACAAGAAAAGGAAACTAACTGGGACCAGAAACTAAAAAAATTGTTTATCTCAATCCTCAGTCCAGCGGTTATGTCATACTTAGTTGGAAAAGAGGTGCTACCTCTTGAGTTGATGTGAGGGCTGTGAATATCTAGTGCATAATTAATATTTTTTAGAAAATATTTTTTAGCTTGAGGATTAAAGCATTAGATGTGGTACAATTGGATTAAGCTGGGCTAAGAAACTAATAAATAAGCCTGTTACAAGGCAAATTAAACCTGCCATGTTTAATTTAACTGTGTTTATTTTACAAGATCAAAGTTAATAGTGCAAAAAAATGAACAAATTAATGATCCTGCTTATCTCTAGGTTGGTAATGGAGCCAGAAGATCAGAGGAAAGAGTTGTAAGAAGAATTCTTAATATATGTTGCAGTGTCAGAAGGGTTGTGTTGAAGGTAAAATACTTTTATCATATTTCTGTTTGAGAACATCCCCAAGCATGTCACATTGTCATGGAGAAGGAAAGTTATGGTAGAATGTTCTGCTATTCAATTTATGTGTTTGTGTGTGCTTGCTAATAGAAACAATCCTTGGGAACAAACAGAACCAGTTGCAAAAAATGCCAATAGAGGGGTCCCGTAGAATATTTCCTCTGTTGATAGCTGAAGTGCTGAGGAAAATTAAGGTGAACTCTGGAGGGCTCTGGCATACCTTAGAAAAAGTGAATGCCCCATCACTATTTTGTTAGATGAATGAACTCTTTGGTGGTGGGAGTAGGAGTAAAATATAGAACTAACTTGATAACATAAGTGTTGATAAGCTGTGATGTTAATTTATTTGTGCTTGCTTTGTTTACTTTCTCTTTATATACAATTAAGCTTGATTTTGTTTAAAAACATAAAACCTGCGGCATAACTCTGTCATCTAATTGTAATGTTGTACATCTTTCTTCTTTAAACACCAACAGTAACCAAATAGGATTGTAATTTCAATGGAACAATGGAGGAGACAAAGAACAGGGGAGTCAGTCTGAAAATTAGGTGAAGAATGTGAATAATCTATGATCAGGAACATCGGCTCATGCTTGTGGACTTAATGGCAATGTTTTGCACAGTTGGCAAATGTGGGTTTGGTCTGCCCAGTGTGGATCAGACTACAGTGTGAGCAGTGAATATACGCGTACTCAATCGAAAGGAAGTTGAGTTTATGGCCTTGGACATTGAAAAGATAGGAGATGAAAGGGCAAGTGTTGCAAATCCTAACTTACAGGGAAAGAAGTTATAAGCATTTGCATTTTAGTCATGACTGGTTTCTTTGAGCAGAATAAGACCATAACAAATAGGAACAAGAATAGGCTGTTTAGCCCTTGAGACTGTTCCACTATTCAGTAGGATCCTGGCTGATCCAACTTTCTCCTTGTCCACGTTCCTATCTTTTCACCATAACCCTTGTTTCTCTTACTGATCAAGAATCTATTTATCGTAGACTTAAATATACAAATCCCTCTGTGGCAAGGAGTTCTAAAGACTCACAGCCCTCTGACAGAAGAAATTCCTCCTAATCTGACTTGAATTGGCATTCCCTTAATTCTGAGACTATGTCCTCTGATCCTAGACTCTCCCATGAGGGGGAATTCCGTCTCAGCAGTTACCCTATCAACTCCTTTAAGAACCTATACGTTTCAATGATATCTCCTCTCATTCTTCAAAATTCTTTTAACAATCATTAAGGAACTAATTATAGGGTGATCACTAGTTATTGGTAATGACGCTTGTCATTAAACTCTACCGTCACCCACAGTTCCTGGACATGTATTATTCTGTTAAAATTTACTTTGAGATCAGGTTCCCTAGTTTCCCATTTGTAAAATTCCAAGAGGTGTCACCATAGAAAGATTAAGTGCATTTTTTTTAATGCTGTTGTACCCAGTATGGTATTTGAATTATTTATTTCTTTGATTTCTGTAGGCAACCTGATCACATTTTAAGTAGACGTAGGTTGGTGAATCAATTGTTCATGTCAATATTTGTTCCTTAAGGAAATCTCATAGCTGTAAGCACACTGAGTGTTGATGTTCTGACTACTGGCTGCCCAATCTCTTTTCTTTATAATGTTCAGTAGGAATATACAGTTGGACAACTTTTAATGTTTTGGAAAATGCTTTAGTTGTTCAGCAGCCTGAAGGTTTAATGGTCATGCTGGGAAGATTCAATTTCAGGAGCAGCTTTGGATTGCTGGCATTAAAACAATTAAAGAGGATTTAAGCTTGGATTCAAAGAACATTACAGCACAGGAACATGCCCTTCAGCCCACCAAGACTGCGCCGACACATGGTGCCTTTCTAAACTAAACCACTTTCGTCTCTACGCAGTCTGTATCCTTCTATACCCTGTCTACTCATTTGTCTATCCAAATGCTTCTTAAATGTTGCTATTGTATCCACCTCCACCATTTCTTCTGACAGCGCATTCCAGGCACTTACCACTCTGTGTAAAAAACTTGCCTCTAGTATCTCCTTTAAGTGTGCCCCCTTTTACATTAAACTTACGTCCCCTAATAATCAACATTTTTACCCTGGGAAAAATGCTCTGACTATTTATTCTATCCGTACCTCTCATAATTTTGTAAACTTCTATCTGGTCTCTCCACATCCTTTGATGTTCAGGTGAAAACAACTCAAGTTTGTCCAATCTGTCCTCACAGCTATTACCCTCCAAACCATTTCTGTATTCTGTCCAAAGCCTCCACATCCTCTAGTAGTGTAGCGACCAGAGTTGTACACAATATTCCAAATGTAGCTTAACTAAAGTTCTACCCAGACGCATGACTTGCCAATGATTATATTCTATGCCCTGACTGATGACAGCAAGCATGCTACATGCCTTGTTGACCACCTTATCCACCAATGTTGCCACTTTCAGGGATCTATAGACCAATTTGCTGAGATACCTCTGTATGTTGATGCTACTAAGAGTTCTGCCATTTACTGTATAGTTCCCTCCTACATCAGATCTTCCAAAGTGCATTACCTTGCATTTGTCTGGATTAAACTCCATCAGCCATT